GTGTCGGTAACAAGATGAAAGGTGTTTGCCAGTTGGGTTGGGATAGACAATTTGACGATTCTACCCGTTTCCTGGTTCCGCACAATTCAACGAATTCCTTCTAATCAAATTTTCTTTCGAAATAGAAAGTCATCTCACAATATATCAACTAATAATTTCTTTGAAACCCAATTTTTCTTCATATCTTCGAAGTACGTACTGTGCTGATTGTCCCTCACGTCTCCGTAGGTTGCGTCGTATTGCTCTTCCTGGATGTCTGCTTGTAAGAAACATCTGAATTAGTTTTTCCAGTTACTCTTTTCAGAACTCAGAATCAATAAGTCGTGGGATATTTAAGACCTTATTCCGGAGTTTTCCAATCATCATTCCTTAATTATGGTTTGACTGGAATTGAAGGATTATTTGTGCATGTGATTACGTTAGAAACAGTCGTTGATTGGAAATCTCCTCTGACCGAATGGCCTCCACATCGAAAAAGTAAGTGTCTGTTCTCTTCAATATCTATTATATATTTAACTTTATCATCCATGTCGTTTAAGAAGATCATAAAATCGTCTGATATTTCTTTTCCATGAAACCAGATCGCGATGTAGTCATCAAAATATCGCATAATTACTGTTAGCTGCTGGGATGACATTTTGAAATTCTCCTCCAACTTGTACCTTAAGACGTTAGCCAATAGAGGTGAGAGTGGTGAGTCCATAGACAGACCAAATATGTACTCATAGATGCGGCCGTTGAATCTGAATAAGGTCGTTCCTATTGTTAACTTGATTAATAAGGTTAGAGAATATCTACGCATTCACACCGTATCCAGGATGTCATTTTCTTTTTCCATGATCTCCGCTGGTGCCATTAGTGTTTTTTCTCTTGCGATGTTAGTGTATATGGAGACTGTACATCAAAGCTCACCACAAATTCGTTTCCTTCCAAATTGGGGCCTTTGATTCTTTGGCAAAATTCGTTTGAGTTCTTCACTGTATTCGCTAATATGTCATTTACTTTCTTTAATTTGAGCCTGTTAAATTTCGCAACGGTTCTCGTTCTTTGTTTACTTTCGGCAATCTGTATGCTACTGGGGCCTTGCATCCTTTCGTATGAGTGAATCCATTGTCTATTTGTCGATTTCCCCATTCATATTCATTTCTTTCAGCATTTCTTGCACTGCCTCTTTGATTTTAGCTGTTAGGTCTTGCTAGTAGTCGATAAGTTGTAGCGTCCCCAAGAATATTTTCCATTCACCTCCTTTGTCACCTTTGACCGTTTCTTCTTGGTTATATCGTTTTTATCCTTCGGTTCTTGATGTGCCAATATTGTTAAAATGATTTTCATTTCCAGCTATCTTTTTGATTATTCTGGCAGATGCCTGAACTTAGATGTCCTATATTACCTTCCTTTCATTCCGAAGTGCAAAAGTTAGTCTCTTCTTGAGGATCTCTGCGATTTCAGGATCAGGGGGGACGGAAGTCAGATTCATTACTGATCTTCATCTCTTGTTCGGATGGTATGATCCATCATTCTAGAGTCATCTTCGTTTTTGTCGAGTGGTTAGTTCTTGGGCTGCCATATTTGCTTATTTTCTTTTAATGTCTTTTTTCGATTAAGTCTGATAGCCTTTTCGACGTTTTGTCTGTCATCTTATGTAGCTTCAAGAAATCCTCCAGGGTGAGAATCTGACTCAACTCATGCCTGAGTTTAGATTTAAGATCTAAAGGCTTAAGTAATTTTCCCCTCTACCTATCATATCTCTCAATTTTTGCAATGCAGCTTGATATAATATATCAATGGCCTCATCGGAATGATATTTCCTAGTTACATTGTAAAAAACTAGGAGAAATGCCATAACGTTTACAACAGCTAAGAAGGGTTAAATGGCAAGATTAACTTGGCATTATTTTCTTTGATCCTATATAATGACTGCATTGGCTTGCAGACTTACTACTGTAGTTAGATCGTTAATATGAAAACCAAGAATTTTCGCAGATTTCTTTTAGTTCCTTGGTAAACTAATGCAAAACACTTACTTCGGACATTTAAAATTAACTAATACGAAACTTTTTTATTTCATTTATGCAGAAAAGCCCAAAATCCTTGAAATTAGTCCCAATCAAACAGTAAAGGAAGGCGAACGCCTCCTCATCACTTGTCGGTCGTCAGGGGACCCTCAGCCCGAGGTCATCTGGGTGGTGAACAACCTGGACCCACCTGCTCGTCGCGTCTACTCGCGCCAGATTCAGCCGTTGCCTCTACCCGCTCTATCCCCAGGAGCAGAGATGTCGAAGAGCACAGACGACAAACTTCGTTTAGCTGGCCCCGTCAACTTGATCAGCCGTCCTTTTGCAACGGTTGCTGCAGCCGGAGTACAAAGCCACCGAATGAGGCGGCTACGAACTGCCTCTCGATTTGAAGAGGTTTGCAAATATCCAACCATATTTTATGGCGCCTATTCTTTTATTGGGCAATCCGAACTTCCACTTTTATGAAAGTACCTTATGAGAATATCAATAATTAGTAAATAAAAAATTCGGTCATATTAGGTCGTTTAAGGAAGTATAATTTTTTCCACAAAGGGTTTTCCCATCCATGGTTATTGCAGTTTCATGCTACATGGGTCACCTGGGGTATGATTAGATCGAGCAGAGGCGCCTACTTATGTTGTGGTAAAAACTTCGCAATCAATCCTTAAATCACCCTACGGAGAATTATAGTGAATGAGTCTTTGTATCAGATCTTTAGAAGGAATGATGCATTGGAGCTCTGCGAACTAGTTCCACTTCGGGATGCTTTGAAAGGCCAGCTGTCTGCAATGAAGTGACTTTTATTGAAAGTCACATTTTACCAGTCACAACTTTTCTCATGTAAATCTCATCCTAGGCTTAGTGTGTCCGGATTTGGTGGCTGAAGCGCTCTGGCCCACGAAGACGGACAAATTTTGCAATTCACTATCTTGCTTTTCGTCCAGAGTGGACTGAAAAACTCTTGTATCAACAGTAATTATCATGCAAAAATCATTATCCTTAGCATGCGAGATGCTGGGCCCATGATTTTCTTGCGAATTTGCCGCCTGGATGTCCGCTGCCAGGAGAAACTAAATGGCTAGCCTCTAAATGACATCGCATATCGACAATCCTCATGTCAAAATCAGCACTTGACGCTTCGCGTCGGTGAACACGAAAGAAATAATAACAAAAGCAGGCAGACAGGAAGGCACGCAGGCAGGAAGGCGGAGAAACTGTCTGCACATAGGAGCAAATAAATGAAAATTAGATGGAAGTATGTTAGGATAGGAGTTAAACTGTAGTTCTTTATGCCTGATGGCTCCTAATGGACTGATGAAAGAGCGGAAATGCGGGCTTCATACATAATGCGTGGATATACTCTCTGGAGCCTGTCCTTTCCTGTGTCATATAGACTTTTATCTGGATTCCAGTGTCAGTTATGGATGGACACAACTGAAGTAGATGGCCGATAATGGCTCTGCTTCGTTTCCATATTTTAACTCCCCAGATCGACAGTCAACTTGAGCCAAGGAAATATCTTTAGCCTGTGCTTGGGGTGCATTCGGTAGTAGTCGAACTTGTGACAAAAGAATATTAAGTTGATGGAAGCTCTTGGAGTTAGTTCCTTAAAAATTGATTAAATGCTACTTATGAGCTACTACTCATTCAAGGGGGAATCGTTATCCATCTCATTCTTACAGGAAGATCGGTGAGTAACACAACGTTTAGGGGTACCATATTTAACCAATTTATCGAAAGATTTGTGCATATATTCTTACACAATAATGTTTACGCTTGAAATTGTCTGTTTATTATCACCACTTCTTCTCGTTCTATTCAACAACACCAAGTTCTCAGGCTTAATATGCCGCGTTTTTCATTTAATTTCGTATTTCATCACGATTCTATAGAGAGGGCAGCCTGACGGTTTACCTCCCCTACCCGACATCTTGGAAGCCCTGCTACCAGACAACGACTTGGGAGAGACCGGTTTCAAAGGCGACAGTCGAAGCGACTTGGCCGAGCTCAAAGCAGCTGCTTCAGGCGGACCTGCGCGAATCCGGGCGCTGGCCGATGGTGGACTGTTGATCGAGAGCGTTCAACTCGTGGATGAGGGTGCCTACGTGTGCATAGCGAAGAACAAGCACGGCACCGAAGCGCAGCGTGGCATCTTTGTTCGCGTCTTGAGTAGGCCACAACAACACGAGGCCTTTATTTTGTTCTTATTTTTATTATGGCATTGTGAACTCATGCTCTGTCTGATGGTCTGAACCGTTTATGAGTACTTTTCTACCAAATCGAGCCTACTTCGACTTAACGATAAGCTGATCTGATCGGCCGTATCAGACATTGTCAGGGCATTCATCTTCCACTTCGAGTAGGTCCAATTCGCAGACTCATTTCACCCACTCTTCCAAAAAAAACTGCAAGCTACAACTGCATGTCTCCCTGACTAAGTGTTTGGGAAATTGTGCATTGAATGGGGCTTTTCCCTGAAAATGTCTGTCAAATGAAGGAAAAAAGCTCACTAATCTCTATCCAATTACACACGACTCCGGTGATTTCAACTACTCAATTCTAAAATAGCAGCCCAGTACATAACAGACCATCTTCTTTCTGCTTCAATCGACAGATTTTCTCTGTATATTTTCAGATTAAGAGAAAATGATCCTAAGCATTATTTAGTTTGCATGAATTTGTGTGTACTTGTAAAGATTTTTTTCATTAAATAGTCTTTTAAATAATATATCTAGCATACTTTGCTTCTACAGTATGATTTTGGTTATTCATGTATTTCTCTTTTTAGCACCGGATGAATTCACACGAG